AACTAATCTTAGTAGAGCAGTGTGCAGCTGATATCTCAAACTGACACCGAAGCTATGTACATTAGCCAGTGTCCAGTTAAATGAACAGCAGCTGATACTGAAAATGGATGTTGTTTATGCAAAGCACATAAAAGAGTTAAAGGTTTTCACTATGCTAGATAAGATTTGCCTCTACTGTAGATTTTATACAGTATACAACAAAACCGAGTGCACTCCTGTGCATGAATCAAAGCTGTCATCTTAAAATAACTATTATTTCTAAGTTAAAAATAAGGCATTTCAATCCTGCTTATAATTAAAAGCAAACAGGTTAGACTGCAGCAAAAGACCTTTTACCTGTGATCACAGCAACAAACATGATTACATCTGCTAACGCTGAATAACATTATAACATAACCTGCCTCTGGGTTGTATGAAAGGCAACATAGCTACACATAGTGAAGAATTTCCTGAACAAGTAAGAAACCAGATTGTGACCATCCATAATTTGCTATTTAAGCAATTTTGCATTGAGAAATAGACAAATCAAGTTCGAAGGAGTTGCATGAAGTCAGCCTATATGGGCAGCTTCCAAAACAAAAAACACTCCTCACATAACTGCCAGATCAGATTTTGGCAACAAGCATGAAAAAGAAGTATGATGAATATTGTCAGGCAAAACCAAAATAAATGTACATGGATCAGATAGGGTTTGCCGTGAACTGGCCAGGACTGCCACAGTGACTGCATAGTACCGACCCTGAAAGATGGCACTAATGCAAGTTTATATGCCCAAATATTGAATGATTATTGAAGACGCATCCCAGTGACAAGAGAAGAGGCTTGGCAAAAGAGGAATTTTCCAGCATGACAATGATCCCAAACACACTGCAAAAATCACACAAGTGTTGGTCGGGTATGTCCCTTTGCTTGAACCCAACAGAACACCTTTGGGGTATTTTAAAGCAGAAGGTACAGTAGAACAACAAATATTAGGATATTAGGAACCCTTATTATCATCTAACTATTTACTGTCTTTGGTGACACTGCTATGATATTTACCTAACACAGTTACTGTATATATATGATCAGTCATGATTCTTAGGTTCTCAAGTTTGTGTAGTTACTTTGCAATAGCACTGAGTGGGTTCCACCATCATCTTACACAAACGCCCACCCACAAGCACACACACACAGGAGACTGCAGATAAAATATAGTTTCCACCTGTATGCACTTCTGTGAAATACTGGGGGCTGTAAGAAGCACTTCATTCTAAATCTGACACAATGAGAATAAAAAGCTTCTTGCCCACTCCAGCCATTACTGAAAACTTTATAAATGTAAAATGAACAACTTTAAAAAAAAAAAAAAAAAAAAACTCAAGCTAAAGGTCACCCCAGAGGAATATATAGCAGAATGAGCACTAGAATGTGCTTCTCATTCACCCCTTCAATTTCCTCAGTGGAGCTGGATGTGGCATTCTCTTCTGTACACAAAGAGAAAACGAGAATGGCATAAATTGGGGCCGCAGGCAGGCACTTTGGGACGATTTAATGGCTACTCAGCATTTCTTTATAGCAGTTCCAAAGCACCACAATAGTCCATGTAAGTCTGAGTGGAAGCTCATGAACTAGTGAACTCAGCTAATAGACAAAGGGGGATATCTACTAAGGTTTGTGGCTCATTTTCTATGCTAAATAGTGAAATTGCATATGTTCATATTTACTAAAGATTGGGGGTTGGCGGCAGAGAAAAATTAAACATGTGGCACTGCAGGAATTTTCATGTTAGACCTCATGCAATATGTATTTTAAGGTGTTCCTGTTCAGGGATGCAAAAATCAGGGAATGAAAATGTATATAAATACCTTCAGCGCCTGATTTACTAGCATTGCAACAAAGGGAACTGCGGCTGATATTTAACGTCAGGAGCAAGCAGGTGTAAAATTTGCAGCACTACTCTAAGCGTGATACCTGTTAGTGATCTGAGATCTCTTTGGAGTTAAGAACATGTTGGAGGAGGGAGCAGATGTTTGTAAATCTCATCGCTTGCTAGAGGAGAATGTGAGGGGACAAAATACAAATACTTCAATCTACTGAATTAAACAGAAGATAATTTGACTGGCAGAAGACTATGTGGCTGCAGCTCTGAAATATGTTTGATTTGTTCAACCTTATTAAAGGATAAGGTCAGCCATTTTCTATATTAACAGTGTTTTCAACACTCCCCAAACAGAGGCAAACACCAACAGTGATTTGCCTCTACTCATGATTAATGTTGGTCAGTCAGTCAGTCCTGGATTTGCTTATTTGTTTGTCCCATAGACCTCAACTGTTGTTCAAAAACAATTAAAACACATCATGGAAGCACACCGCTGCACTAAGTGACATATTTCCTCATTATGAAGCACAAGACCCTAAAATTTATTAAGAATATCCAGAGATTTTCTGCATGGGCCCTTGACTCTTGTTTAATTCAGATGCTATAAATGTGGCAGTTTGGAGTCTTTGGGGCAACATTTTAAAAAAAAGATTAGGTTCTGTAATAAGGAAACGTCAACCTGTGCAGTGGTGTGTTTCATTGATGTGTTTAAATGTTTTGGAACAACAACTGAGGTCTATGGCATAGATGAATAAACTAATCCAGGACTGACAGACAGACAGATATTAAATGTGAGTAGAAGCGATTCATTGTGGGTTTTAGTCTTTGTATGGGGAGTGTTGAAAATACTAATATAGAAAATTACTGGCCTTATCCTTTAAAGTTAAGCCACAGTAAACACACTCTTTTCTCTCAGTCCACCCGTGGCAGTAGCCACGCTGTTACCATCTGAAACGCATTCAAATTAGCACAGCTGCTATTGTGCTCCTTTACATCGTCAGTGTTAGTAAATATGCTGCTACAATGAAAAACTGCAGCAATATTTTCCGTGCCTGACTGTGATTTGTGACAGGTTTAGTAAACATCCCCCAGCGTGTGTGTTTTATAATTATAAGCATATACCTCTCCACAGATCACCACAAAAAGACAACACACAAAGTACTCCCATTTATTTATAACTTATGAACTTGTTGGGATGACTACAACATGAAAATCTAAACAGTAAATGCAAGGTAAGCTAGCCTGCTACCAAGGTCTGCGTTGCTGGCATTCAGGTGCCATGCAGGAAACACCCCCCGACCTAACACAGCTTTCCTCAGGACTCCCACTCTGCCAGCTGCGCAATGAACCAGCGCCCGTTAGCACACACCTCCCTTCCCAACACAGCCACTGGTAATGAATTACCTAAGCCCCACAGTCCCAGCCATTTCTGTTATACACCCTGGGCTGGTAAACAGCTAGAAAGACAGAGAGTGGAGTGACAACAAACAGCAAAACCTGGTTGTAAAGCTAAAAAAAAAAACCTTCTTGACAGAGACACAGTGACGGTACAAAGACAGGAATCCAAGAATCAACAGCTTCAGTATTAAAAGGACATGTGCTTGTCATTTTTGATACTGAAAAGGAGCACTCAGCACCACATAGTACTGTATTTCAAGACAAAATCCATCTGGAGAGAGATCTACAGATAGGTGTCCGCTTCTTCATCTCAGAAACACTGAAAACAAAATGAGAATGGGCCAGTCAGAACACCTTTATTTCTGCAGTCTTTGTGATGTTAATGTGGGTTTTATGAATCTTCTCTACAAGTTCAATGTGATTCTTCAAATGAACATGCACAATCTCAGGCATGATTTCATCTGAGCAGAGAAGCAGCCACAAGAGACAATGACATCAGTGCTCAAACCCTCCCAGAAGAATGCCTGTCGTCAGTTGCACTGGCACACGCAGTGCTATGGAAACAGCAGGAGTGTGAGCATGTATCAGGGTTAAAGTGATACCGCAAGGCACACACACACACACACACATACACACACAGAAAGAAATAACTGAAAAACAAAGAGACTGAGGCAGGCCATTGAAAACAATGCTGACACATAACCAAACTGTTCCTCACCAGCTGTGTAAGGCAGCCTACGTTCACATTTTCCTCTTTAAAGAATGAAATACAGAGGTCAACTAAGGACTAAATGGCTCTGTCATTGTAAAGGGAACACTAGACAACAGTTTTCCTTGTTTTTCCAGTTTTTCCACAGCAGACCCACAGTATCACTGAGCTTCATTTCGGAAGTAGCACTGAGAGATGTAGTTTCAAAGCAGAGTGCTGCCAAAGACAAGATGGAACGTATCCTATCAGAAAGCTCACTGTAGCAGCTGACTGCAATGAAAACAGCAAGAGTTTAAGAGTATGTGTGCTCCAGAAGTTGAAAAGACATAGCAAACCATAAGCACACATACAGTGCCCACAGTGTGTATTATAAAGCCAACCATGCTTATGCATGTACACAATCACAGACTCTAACATCTGTTACCTATCTGCATGTCAAACTGTATAAAAAGTTGAAAAGGGGCAAACAGAGCAGCTGCACACAGACACACACAGGACAGCATTCTACAGACTGGGCACCCATTCAAACAGCTCTCGGTAACAGTAACCCACGGCAACCCTAAAACCTGCCCCCTTTCCCTTCCTCCTCAAGAGACACAGATCCGTTGCCCAGTTAAGGGAGAACCAAATGAGCTAGCAGACAGAGTGCCCGAGAATGAAAGGAGGTTGTAACTTTACCCGCTCTGCCCTTGCTAAAGCACAGCACTACAGCAACCCGCCCCCCTCGAAAGGTTCAGGAGGTTAATTATTCAACATGAAAGGGGGATTTGAGAATGAGACAGAAGCCAGCAGAAACTGCTCACGTCTTTTGTTCAACTCATCCACTCATTTAGTGACTTTCAAATATGCACTTTATTCCCATGGATAGAGGCTCACTCCTGGACACCATCCATTACATAGAGAAAGAGATGCACACTTGAGCACACATTCAACATTGTACACAGCTGCATCAGTGCTCTCATCCTTCTCCACATGTTCACAGCTTCTCAGCACACAGTGAGTTTCACTCCGCTCTTTGCGTGGCTCTCTTACCATTGTGGTTGTGCTGCAGGGTCTCCAGCATGCTGGCAGAGGAGTCTGCCCCCAGCTCAGCCAGCCTGCGACTTGTGGCGCTCAGCTCTGAACGCAGGTTGGTCACCTCCTGGCTGGCCGACTGAATGGCCCCATCGATGCGCTGGGCCAGCTGCTTGTTGTCATCCATCATCTTCAGGATTTTTGCCTGAGGAGGAGAGGAGAATCCAGACAAGGTGTCATGCTGACAGGTTGATC